GGGGACACGGGGACGGGGCAGAGGGGGAAGCCGCTTCTAATCCAGGACGGCTGAGTGGGGAGAGAGGAGCCGCGGGGAGGAGAGAGCAGAGACGCTGTTATCCTGTCAGCTTCAACTTCATTTACCGATCCTCTGTGTGCAGAGCAAACACTGGAGTGATCAGGTGATCACTCCAATGTTTGTAAACAACTGTCCCCAGTTATGAATGAACAGGAAGTGCTTTACATCACTTTCTGTTCATTCCTTAGTTTCTCAATGGAGCGAAGCACTCACTACAGAGGCTTTAAAAAAAGTGTAAAAATGCAGCAAAACGCATCGCAACGGCAGCTGCGCAGACACACGCAGTTATGGTGTGAATTAGCCTTTAGGCTAGGTTCACACCAGATGCAGTGCGTTCCGGTCCGATTCTGGCCAGAACGCATCGCATTGCGGCCGGCTCACTTTTTTGTGGGGCAGGAGGGGGCATGGCGGGCCATTGAAGTAAATGGCACCGTAGCCACTCCCTCCGGTCGCAATGCGATCGGCCACACGGGATCGCAAAGGCACATTGTGCCTGCGGTCCGGGCTGGTGCAGTGCGATCAAAATGCTGCAAGCTATTTTGATCGCACCGGACTGGCCGGAATGTGATGCAGTGCGTTCTGGCCAGAATCGGACCAGAACGCACTGCATCTGGTGTGAACCTAGCCCTCTAGTTTGGTTTGTTTATAACTTTTACATGAAGGACGAAAAGTATGCTTAAAATATGCTGGGGCGTAAAGCTTCCCTTTTGCACATTGGAGCTGAATCCAAGTAACTCCTGTATACAGGAGGTTTGGGATACAAACCAATGGCATAGTTGGGTGACTGAGTAGTTGTGTATAGTATTTATTAAAACAAGTCATGTCTATTTTGTAGGGCTGCGGAAATTACCGATTAATCCTTCGATTAATCGTTAATTTTTTTGATCGATCAAAATTATTTTGATCGGTACTCACCTCTCCACCGGCTTCCGGGTCTTCCGTCGGAGTTCCGGAGACGTCATGGACATCAACGTCACCGGACTCCTCCCCCCATCCCCAAGTGGCTCTGTCGGCTAACGAAGGGAAGGGGGGAGGAGTCCGGTGACGTCGATGTCCGTGACGTCACAGGAACTCCGACAGAAGACCCAGAAGCCGGCGGACCATTCCTTTGTGTAAGCAACCACTATTGATCTCCACAATGCTGCTAGTCAACACTTTAGACAGCCTTAAGAAGGTGAGTGCAGATTGATGACTCCCTACTTGTGCTGCTTCTGATGTCCAGTTACAGGTTGGAGCCAGTTTATGGCCAAGCTACATAAGCTAACTGCAGTAAAGAAAACCGGTTGCTCACTTAGCTGTGCTTTCTGGCAAAGCTGTCAGGATAACAAGACCAGCTGGCTAAAAGTACAAAACATTTTACATGCAAGGTAGTTGCTTGCCTGGAGTTCAAATATAAGCTTTCAAGGTAAAAATACTGACTAAGAAGAAGCTTTAAAAGGTGCCTACTGTTACCTTGTTAGCAAGGGAAGCCATGTTTGTGCACTCTGGTTCGGGTTTCACTTTGTTTTTACTGAAGACTTCACATCCTTGAATTTGCTGCTAAGTCCTATTGTTAGAACTAAGTCACACCCACACACCACCTTCCTGAGCACCATTATGAGCACTGAGACACTCAAATTGGGTGGATGGACAACACAGATTTACTATGATAAAAAGTAAAGAAAACCAAAGACTGGAAACTCTATTTAACCCCTTCGTGATGGCACACTGTACATCCAGCCACAAAGGGACGAAATGACTTGTCATGTACACTGTACGTGACGAGTTATTTGCTGCTTTAGAGGGCTGTTAATCGCTGAGAATCAGCTTTTAACATTCATTAATGGATGCCCTTACTACAGAGGCATTCATTAATGAAAGGGTTAACCTTTTTCAGACACCCGATACCTTAATATCGGGTGTCTGAGAGTCACAGCAGAGCGGACACACAAAAAGCAAGACAGAACAGAGCCAATAGCAAACTAGCTAATGCACCCTCCCACTGCTGATGTCAGTCAGCAGAGGGTGGCCTGAATTTTTCTATCAGGTCCTCTTCTGGTGATTGAAAGACCCTACTATTTTGCCATAAAAAGAAATTTTTTAAATATCTTCATTGAAAGGAATAAGGTAGTTTGCCATGTTATTTGTACTGTTCTTACATAACAACAATTTTCACCAGGCTGATACTGCCTGTTACAGATAGTGGCATTATAGAATATACTGTCATGTTGTGCTATAACAGATTTAATTTTTTCCTCTGATAAATAATTCAGGATCTCATATTCTGTTAGTGCTTAAATATGAGATTGAATCAAACCTTAATAATGTAATGCTCTCTTATGGTTTCTTTATAGACTCCGACATGAAGAAAGATGTGGTGCCTGTTCATGTTTCAAATAACGTTGGACAAGATATTGCCATGTTTTCAAATTTGGAACTTTCTCCATCTTTAATACTTCAAAATGCCACAAAAGATGAGGTTGCAAACGGGATGCACATAAGAAGAAAGCGCTTTATATCTTATCCCAGATATGTGGAACTTATGGTCACAGCAGATGCAAAAATGGTGCGACATCATGGCCGAAACCTACAGCACTACATTTTAACTCTGATGTCAATAGTAAGTGACTGGAAGAAATGGTTTAAAAACATAATTATGTGAAATAATATTGATATAAATGATGACATATTTGATGTACACATATAATGATTGACATGCAAATGAGGGCAATGATTATTAAGTAAAAAAAACTACCTGAGCAAATTACAAAATTTACCCTTGAAGTGGGCTACCCTGCACTGCAAGGGTTAAGTGTTTGTGTTGGTTTAAGGTCTAAAATAAAAAATATATACTCACCTGAATCTCTATCCTGCCTGGCTGGATTGGATCAGATTTTTTTTCCAGATTGGAGGTATCGCCACCATACATAAACATGTGGGTTCAGCCAGCACAAGCATGTCATACTTGTTACTTACAATTATAATTCAGAGGTCAGTTCTTCTGAATGTTTTATGTCTGTATCTAGAATTATACTACATCAGGGGTATGCATAATTAGGCTCCAAAATCACCTAAGCAGAATGGCAGATACCTGGACTGGGGAATCCCAGGATAGCAGGTTAAAAATAGCCACATGATATTATCAGGGGTGTGGAATTCCTATCGCCCGACGCCTGGGACATGCAGTTTCGGGCGCCGGGCGAGTAGTTTTAAAGTACATTCAGCCCGGACAAGCAGAGCTGAATGTACATTGTGGAGCCGCCGCCGCTCGTTTAATACAAGTGGTCTGATTAGACCACTTGTATTAATTTGAGCAGCGGCGATCGTTTCTGCCCGCACCCCCCGCCGTAGTTTTCGGGGTCGCCCACTCTCCAGGGGGACCCCGAAAACTAAGGCACAACGGCTCAGCCATAGAGCCCATCTAGCAGACGAAAAACGTCTGCTCTACGGGCTCTCCGTGTATTCTCTGAGACCGTGGCGCTGTAATCACAGCGCCACCTGTCTCGGCTGTAAGGAACTACACAGAACAGCTGTTCTGTGTTGGAGGGCAAGTTCCATAAAATTATACAGTTGACTGACATGGAGTACTCAAGGTATCATAGCATGTAAAGCAAAAATCATTTCAGGTGCCTTTATATTCCATGCTATTTATTGTTACATTTGACTTTGGTGCACCTTTAATGTACTTTTATATGGGGAAGTATTCAATTTACTGTACCTGCATTGTTGAGCATTAAATATGTTTTTAACTTCATGGGTTGCCCTATGTGGTAATCTATCTGGGATGTATGAAAATGAGAAAAATGAGAACTTCATGTCTCGCTGCTATTTGGCTTCCGGATGTTTGTTATCAAGGTTTCATGCTGTGTTTCCATTGAAAAGAGAATGTTTTTCATCGGTTTCAAAGAAACATGACATACAAAAAAGATGTGAGAAACTATTTTTTATGGAATAATGATTGCTTCTATCAGGTAGAAATATTTGATCGCTTCTTTACATGACTGCTGTAGCAGGTTTGAAATTATGGCATTGCTTGTTTTTTCTTCAGTTGGGTATTGCCATAAGTGTCTTAAGCAACGCTGTGAAATCTATCGCTCAAAATCCCTCTGATTTAATAGCATTGCAATTAGTTAATTCTTTATATCTATCTATATACAGTCTATTTCAATTATGAAATTGGTGATTTTCGTTTTGGAAAACAATTGCTTTAAAATATGTGGAATGCAGTTCATGGTCTGCACATATGTGATAGCCTACATAAAGGTGTGTCCGCATACATAAGATAGTTACATTAAAAGAGATCATCAACATTGACACTGGAGCTGTTATGTTAAACACTGGTGAAAAGAAAACAAAGCAAAAGTGAGCAACTGTCCAGCTTATCACATTGCTGGTTTAGTTTAGATGATGAAACCCAATTTGCTGACCTGATGGTTTATCCATTTAAATCTTAACATTTTATGTATTTATTTATATTCACCTGTCACATGTATTAAATCAAACATATTTGCAAACAATTGTTTTCCATAACAAAGATATTTGTCATGTATAGATGTAATTGACGTTTCTAGCCTTAGTTAAACTCGCTGATTTGAATGAGTCTTTACAGTTCAGTAGCTGGACAGAAATACCATTTTGCCGAGCAGGCAGTTACTTTTCTCTGCACAGAATTATATGGTTTATTTTCTGTTAGTAGTATGAGTAGATGAGTTCTATATATAGATACTATGTTGTGTGTTACAAGAAACGTAGCGTGACATTTGATATTATCACTTCTCCTTGGAAGCGTGCACCCACCCATGATTGAGAGCCTCTGTACTTTACTCACAATGAAATGCAGTGGGCAGCAGTACTAGATAAGGAGATGCATACTTAAATCAGTACATTTTCATGCTTTGCATTTCGAAATATCACAGTATTAATTCTTCTTGCTATTTTGATAACCTCTTAGACCCTTCTCACCAGCAGCTTTTCAGGAAAGTTATTTCAATTACAAAGTTACATAAATAAATGTGTAGTGGTTAGAGCCATCAGATATAAAATGTATACTTCACAGATTAGTGAAAGTAGCACTCCTGTTTTGCACTATAAATCATTTTGCAAGAATTGCTTACAAGAGCATGCAGTACTGAGTATATATACTAAGTAATCATTTTATAGTAAACTATTATGTTTTTTCTTCACAATCTAGTTTTAAAATGAATCTACATCTTTGTAGTATAGATAATTCTGCAAAGAAAATGTAGAGGAGGCAGTCATTGTACTTGTTTTGTTCAGTTTTAATTTAGTTTACATGTGAAATGTTTTTGTTACTTCCTTAAGGTTATAATTTTCAGAACTTTTTTATCACTTCTTCTGTCTCTACCCATTTTTCTCTCTCTATCTTGATCTCTATCTCTCAATCTCTCGATCACGACACAGAGCAATATAGGTTAGCTAAAAAGACTGCACAGCAGAACCAGCTTGCTTTTCTGCCTCCATGTCTGACTGAAACCTCTGAATGATCCTTTTGTAAAGGGATGATTAATTACTATGAGTCACACTTGATGCTCATTCAGCTGTGTGTAAATTGCAGCTTGAGCTATGGAACCTGGAAACAACAAGCGTTTTTTTAACCAGCTGTAAACCGAAATAAAGACATAAAAGGGAGTTCAAAGCTGCCACTGCTGCCTTGATAAGTGACTACATAATCATATTTACCTGACTAAAAAAGACTGCTTATGAGGTTAGTATGGTTTAACCCTTTCACTTCCACGGTGATGAAAACTTTGAGGGTTATTTGAACCGAAGGGCTGCTAAACGTGCTATTCATTATAGCCCGTACAGCTCCCAAAGCTGGCCGAGCGGCTCAGACGAGGCATATGCTTCGGCACGACTTTTTGGATGCCATGCTGAGCATGTTTGGGCGAACCAAAGCCAGCTGAAACAAGCCGATGTACGGCTGATTTCAGCCAATGTACGGCTGAAATCAGCCGTACCAGCCTGTAGTGAATAGCCCAACAGTGTTCGGCTCACTTCACTCCGGGTAGGTTATTCGCTCGGCTGCCTTCGGGAGCTTTGTGAATAACCCTCTTTGTCTGTGGCAGCACCGACCTGTAAACAGACTCCCAGTTGCTATAGCAGCCAGGAGTTTGTTTACACTCCCTCAGCCGGGTGTCAGCAAGGGAGCAGAGGGACTTCAGAAAATGTCTGTTCAATGCTCGCCTGAAGCTACTTGAGCACAATCTGTGCTTGTTTAGCTTCAGCGGAATGCAGAAATGACGTTGGGAGTCTAATAGACCCCTGATGCCTCTTTAACCTCCCTGGCGGTATGATTATGCAGGATTTTAGCATGCCAAAGCGGTACATTGTTTTTCATGGCAATTCGTTGTTTTATATTGTAGGCCTGAAATTCTTAGTAAATTTCAGGAATAACTCACCTAAATCTGTCCAAACAAGAGTCCAGTAGACATCCCAGGTATGATAAAGTTTGAAACACGAAATCATAAATTATAATACTGCATGTTTTCACTTTTGAATTTCCGGCCGGCTCCGCCCCCCGCTGTGACGTCGAAAACAAAACTAAAAGTCAGATGCTGGCATCGGCCGGCCGCATACAGCAGAGGACTCCGCGGGCTCATAGGGACAAGGTAAGTGAGACTTTTGTGCAATCCCGAGTGTGGCTCGGGGTTACCGCTATTGGTACTGAAAATTAACCCCGAGCAACACTCGGGAACACCGCCAGGGAGGTTAAAGAGAACCTGTCACCTCCAATGTGCTATCACATAAGGGGCTAGCATTAAAGTTAAGTGCAAAAAAAAGTCCCACACACACATACGAATGTACACCTACACAGAAAAAGGGCAATTGCTCCACAAATGTTATGTATCGCTGCACATACCAGAGTAAGAACAATCATTTTAGACCCATTATTCATGGTTAACTCTTCTAAGGTCCGGTCAGGTTTCTGCACACGCACGCTAGTCTTTTAGACGCGTTTTTGATGCGTTCCGGGCCCTTTTTGGTAAAATGGGCTTTCAGTGCATTCCAGGCATTTGCATGCGTTTTTGGGCCTGCTGCAGTTTTTTCACCTGCTCTGGATCTGCTCTGCAACTGCACGCTGCGATGTGAACTGGAGCAAAAAATACCATTGGAATACATTGGATGCAGTTTTGATCTGGTCTGCAACTGATCTGCTCTGCACCTGTCATTTAACACTCAGATCACTAAAACGTTTGACAATTGTTTATACAGACTGAATATAGATAGCTTGTTAAGGTACATTTTTCATTGTGCCAAAATGTGGCTTACAGTAACTGTGTAACTAATGGAGGTCACTACAAAGATGGTTTATTTGTAAGGTGTCTTTGGGTATCTGTATGTAATAATAACAGTATTACCAATAACTTTAATATAATAACTTATATAAAACACTCAGATCACTAAAACGTTTGACAATTGTTTATACAGACTGGATATAGATAGCTTGTTAAGGTACATTTTCCATTGTGCCAAAATGTGGCTTACAGTAACTGTAACTAATGGAGGTCAGTACAAAGATGGTTTATTTGTAAGTTGTCTTTGTGTATATAATAATAACAGTATTACCAATTACTTTCAGCTAATTAACATCAACCATGT